TAATTTTCAGAACAAATTATAAAAAAAATTCTCCGTGAAATCAGCACCTTTGACGTCTTCCTGCATCATCTCACTAACATAATCATTCTGCCATTTTTAGATGAGACAAGCTGCTCGTAGAATCGATTTTAATTATTTTTGTGCTAGTATTCGTAATGTTTTTAAAAAGTATGCTCTTGTTAGACGGAATTAAATAAGACTACCTTCACTGCCTGTCAATGTCCGACAGGAAATACAGACGGGGACTGAACAACAGCAGTATTTAGAGACGCCGTCCTCTTCATTCACATGTTAGTAGAAGCCAGAGTAGCTCTAGTTCATAAGTACATTACAGATAAGAGGAATAAAGCAGTATTTATTTTATTTGTTTTTTACACAGAACGATATATAAAAACTAAGGTAGACACTGTATAAAAAGTCTGAATTTTTTAATTTACTGTAACATCCACAGCGAAGTCTTCAGAGTGATACTTAGCTACAAATGTCTAAGGCTACTGCTGATGGGCTAGCAAGATCTAGGATGGTCCAGGAAAGTCCAGATGAAGTGATTGGTGTTTTTGATTGGACCCTGGGGTTGCAAGCACGATCGATTCTAGAAGCCACCGTATTGCTTCCACTTTGAGACCTACGTTTTTTTAAATCTATACACTTTTATTTTTACAAAATTACATTCCGTTGGTTAGTTAGACTAATTTTTTTATAATTTTATCTTGTAATGTTTTAAATAGTAATTTAATATTCTTTGTGCACATAAACATCAGTGGTATTTTGACAATTATGTTTTATTTATGAAATTAGCCAAACTAGCCAAAACACGTCAATACTGATAAAATTACTAATATAACATCGAATAGTTTTAAAGATACACCTAAATTTATTGACTAGTAATTCAGATATTCATTATTATTATAACCATTAACATAATAATTATTAATACAATAATTACATATAAATTTTCTAGCGTCTATCCAAAACGCAGCTAAGAAATGATGGAATCTAATAAAATAAGGCAAACTTATCTCACCGGAGGGATCAAAAACATTTTTCCTTTTTTTTTCACTATATTGAGGCACTCAAATTGAAACAATTCCCTTTAAACCAGTACTCGTTAGGTCTAGGGGTATTAATCCTATGAAAAAAAAAACTACGTGGTTAACTACTTAACAAAAGTATTGTAATAAAAATCCGAGGAACATTTTTGTAATGTTTTTGGCATACATCAATTTTCTGGATGGACTCAATAAATTGTAACGTCAAATCCGAATCCTGACTTTATTCCTCGTAAGCTCTAGACGGTTCACGTCTTTCCCGTTTACACCGTCTGACTGCGACATTAAGCTAGTGTTCTATACCACTTTATTAAATGCCCTGTTTCTAGCTGCCACTGTAATACGTTTTTATATTTTATATTTCTATAATACGTTTTATTTAAATTAATAGTTACGATTCTTTTTAAGTCTTGTGAAGCGAAGTTCCTTTTTGTCCGTTATTCTCGCCCCAAAACAATGGACAAAAAGAAAATGTTACTTATGGTTACTCTGATTTCTTAGTCACATTGATATTATTGAATAGATTCAACTAATATTAATCAGAATACATTGCAATACTCTCAAGACGTGTACCACTGGTTGTTATATCCAAGCGCAGCAGTCTTTTGGTTTATTTTCCTTTATTTCTTTTCTTCACAGTTCTGCACAATTGCGCGCGCAAATTTTTTTTAATGTAGAGTTTTAACGGCTTGGCTAAAGGCCATATAGCCTATTCCTCTTTTTCTTTTCTCCGTTTTGCTTTCATTTTTTATTTACGTTTCAATCTTCATATGACATCAAAAGTGGAGATGATGTAACTGTAAATAACTTTGCACGTTTTCTCGCGCGCAATTATTTCTTTTTTGACAGTTCAGCGCTTTTTTTAGATGCCAAGGAACCTGCTTTCGCTGCGCTTCGACAATAGTAATAATTATTAGTGACGATAATTGAATGATGATAAGTAATAACGCGTTAACAAACATGATCATAGTTTTGCGAAAGAGCCATATAAAAGCTTTTTTCGTTGTTTTCGAACTTTGTTCTAAAATTTATTTGTAAAAAGAAACTTTTTGATGTTGTGCTTGTTGTTGTCGGGGAATTATAGTAATAAATTACAACAATTCACCAAAAGTTTTCATTTTACAAGTAAATTTTAGAACAAACTATCAAAAAAGCGAAAATATATTTTGGTGCTTTTTCGCAAAACCATGATTGTTTAAGACGTCAGCATCCAATTAATCTCGAGCATTGTGTGCAGAGCCCAAAAACAAGGAACTTTCAAGCTACTTTGCCTACATCAATCTAACCCTCGCTTACATATATTTCAAATTATAAATTGTCTATTCCCTAATTCGTTTCGCTCGACGTGGAGCTGTGGACCCGATTCAAATGTTGTATAGAAGATTATAGCGTTTTACTGAAAGATAGACAGATATTGAATAGTTTTCATTCAATTACCAATGAAAGAAGCCATTTTGTTTTCCGAAAATTCAAAATGGCTTCGTCTTTGGTAATTAATTAAAAAGGTTTCTTGGTAATGCCTACATAGGCCATCAAGCTACAGAACGGGGCTAAAATTATCTATAAATCAACGTTAAAATTCATACTCTAAACAATACTGCTGCGTTCCGACACTATAATGGCAGCAATTTGCTTCAGTAATATGTAATATTTATAAATTACCTTATATTATAATTGTGAATGTAAAGTAAAAAATGGTCAAGTATTGCTTTTTTACCGCCGTGTGGTTTCTATTTGCGCAAAGACCGTGTCGTATGCGAAATTTTTGTAAGCCTCCAAAAGTGCTACAATAATGTCTGTTACGACAACGAGGCTTCACCCCTCTTTGGAAGCAAGATATTTCCTCTTGGTTGTCGTAATAAACAATCAATGGATACCAGCACATGGTCATGTGGTCTCGCGTTACTTTATTAAATGTTCTTTATTTCTGGAAAGCTCACGTAAAAGATATTGAGCACGCATTATCTAGAAAAACTTTAATAAATAGACAAAAACTTCTGTGTATTCTAATCGTATAGAATGTTATTTATAATCAAAACACTATAAAATCTAATCTAATTGGTATGGGGAGTATAAACATTTAAATGCGGGAGACACGATGGGATCACATACATTTTTAAACTTTAATATCATAAATATTTTAATTTCTCTAATACTCTCGTTTATCCATAAGCCTTTCCTCTAAAAATCTTTTCTTTTCTAATAATACCTTTCTCTTCAATAATATCTAAAAATTGAAATCGATGAAAACATCCAAAATGATACACACGCATTAAATTCATTACTTTCACATTAGATGGCGTTTTACATAATTGTTCCTAAAGCCATCTAGCGGCCACCTAAAACACTACCTTTTAAATACTTCTTTGATATCCACGACACGATTACTTATCTTACACTTTACGATTGCCAACGTTGAATAAAAACTTTTTGAGGAGTTATTACTCCATCAATTTTTTTTGTTTCGCCGACCCTTAATTTCCCCTTTTTTGTTTTTGTTAGCAGCGAAACATTTTTCTGCCAATTGCATAATAATTATTAAGTAAACTGGAATAATAATATATACATATACAAATGATTTTAAATTCATAATAAGGGTGACTTTCACTTTCCGAATTTCAATGGCACTTTTTGAGTGATTTTTGTAAAACCCTTTGTTCTTTTAGTTTAAGGTCTTAAACGTACAAATAACTTCAAGCAATGTCAACAATTATAAAATCACAGAAATATTTAAGTTAAATACAACAAAAAAAGATATTTTAGGTCACACGAATGAGATTGCAGTAACACGAATGATTTTCTCATAAACATAAATGAGAAAGACGGCACAGTAATGAGAAATTATTATTACAACACACATTTTATCGTTCACAAAAGAATATTTAACATGTAACAAAAATTTTATTAAAACTTCTATCAAAATCCTTCTCATCTGTGTAGACCATCATCTATCTATATGTAATTAATAAATAAATCTAAATAAGTATTTTGTTAATGTCATATAAACTTTGTTGTACATCAATATATCATCGTCACCACCATCAACATCATTATCATGATCACCATTATCATCAGCATCATTACCATTCACATCATCATCACGATCATCGTCATCACCACCATCATCATCATCGTCGTCAGCACCGTCATCACCACCACTATCACCATCTAATTGTTATATTTCAAGTAAATGTTTGGCTTAAAGTAACCATTTGACTTAAAAGTAGACAAGAATGAGAGCGACAACATGATATTTGGATACATTTTTAATTGTCAAGTGTGTAAAATAAGCTGGACCATTATAAAAGTGCATGGATTTTAAACTTCCCTTTGTCTAATTGATGTACAATAAAGTTTATAAAACTATTAATACTTATTTAGATAGATTGCTTTACATGAATGAGAACGATTTAGTCACTAGCGCTGAAACTGGTATCTAGGTCGATTTTTTTCTAAAACGGAGATGCACAGGTTACTTCACTGTGTACACTCCAGTCCGACAGGAGCCCTTTCTCACGTGTGTGAAGGGCGAAAGTGATGCGGTATGAATTTTTGTTATTAGGAGGCTTCTAGTTGAATTGACACTAATGGTAAGAAAAATTGAAACTCATTTTGTATTCCCAAGAAAACATGTTTGTTTATAATGAATTTGAAAGTTACGGTATGTATTCGACATGTAAGTTATTAGAGTTTATTCTCGGTGGGAAATATTGCGATGTCCACGAGTGTTTAATTTTTTACCTTCTTTTCTTAAAATCAGGTCGACGTGGAACCGGCTCCCATGAATGAGAAATTGCCCACGTTTTTAATCTTTATTTATTACTGTGACGTAGTAAAGTAGTCTTTTTATGTGTAACACAGACTAAGTAAGCAAGCAATCATATTAAATAAATAATGCTTATCATTCATGTAATAACATAAAAGTTATTGAAAGGGACACATTTTTGGAGGTTATCTGAAAACGATCCATAATTAGTTCATTTTGTTAATAATAAACTATGTAAATTATAATAAGTTTCAACAAAATAAATCGATCCTACTGTGGAAAAATTGCACCACACAAGTATTGCTTCACTTTACGTAGAATCTAATCACATCTCTTATACCGAAACCCTGGTGAAGGTCGCGGGAAGCCATTGGCTGCAGACGATCCTAAACTTAGTGGAGTTTATGGCGTCTTAGTAGGGAAGCTCATGTTTTGTCATTTGCTGAAGACGGCGGATATGGGTTCAGGCATAGTCAACAGCGCAGTCGAAGAAGGGGAAACAGGCCACGGGGTCGGCGACTGAATGCTAGAGCACGTGCAGGTTCTCGCATGACTTCGACTTCGAGTCCCTCGCCCACACTCGTCCCAGGAGGCCACGCACCTGTACTCGAAAAATATAAATAAGTCGTTTTATATTTTAAATTCTGTGTTGAAATTATTTACTTGTTATTATAAGTGACGTCACTGTTAAGGTGCTCATGAGTTTTCTGGGGTTTGTTGTGAGAAAAAGACTCTAAATGTTTTTAACCGACTATAAAAAAGGAGGATGTTCTCAATTCGACTGTATGTTTTTTTGTATGTATGTTACGCGATAACTTTCGCTTATCTTATAGTCTATTTGCGAACCGATTTCGATGTTTCTTTTTTTGTTGGAAAGATGGTACCTCAGTGGTGGTCCCATTTAAATTTGAAGAAAATATTTCACCTCTAAGGGTGGCATTTTCCGGTAACCGATTCCAACAAAATTATAGTAATTCCACGAACTTTTGAGGTCGGTTTTTTAGTACTCTGTATTGAGATTATTGGTATACCTTGACACTGGCTGACAGTCGAGTTCGTTTTCTCGGCGTGCTGGCGGTTGAGGCGGAAGCGGGGACCGGAGCGGAGGCGGGGGGCTCGTGGTCGGCGTCATGCGGCGAGCGCGCGCGGCTGCGGTTCTTGCGGCTGCTGCTGCGCTTCCTGGAAACAATTACACTTGTCTTAATATTGGTTATATCTTTGGTAGAATCAAAAAAGCATCATCTTTGAATACCCAGTGGCATAGGACGTAGGGGGCAAAAGTACAAACGGGTCACGGCGGCATTGTAATGGGGCTAGCTAATAGCTAGTCAAAATTATTATTATTATTTATTTAAAATAAGTAAATAATTATTAATACAAAGATCGAACACTCAGAAAAAGCACTCAGAAAAAATTCCTTCAATCCGGTCGGATTCGAACCGACGTCTTCTTGCATACCGTGCCAGACGCTATACCAACTAAGCCACGGAACGAACCAACGGACCTCACGAATCTTTCTATGTGCTTGCGTCGTGTCTTTGTACTTGGTCTTTTAACGACTTTTTAGTCGTAGCGCCATCTATGAGAAATCTTTGACAGATTTTCTGAGTGTTCGATCTTTGTATTAATAATTATAACAAACTAGTGGAGTAATTTCACAAAAAATAATTGAATATCAATTCAATAAAAATTTAATTAATAAGTAAATAAATTCACACAAATTCGAAAACAAAACACAATCCAGCCGAGTCTACCCAAACAGACTACTTTTGTAATCGTGAAAAAAACTTACCGAACTCGTTTTATGTAATTGATTCTGCGTGAGCACAGACGTTTCGCTACGAGTATATCCACACAATGGAATTTTGACAACGGTCGTCTCATAGGTTATTTGGTGTTGCTTGAAACAGCTACTTTCACAGTCTAATGACATATTATGGTATTTTGCTTTAGGGTAATGCCGCCGATATCAATAGAATCTTTGTCCTGCAAAAACCTGCTGTTAGGGCAATTTACAATCTGGGCCCCAAAGTATCTTTGAGCGATAAGTTTAAGGAAATTAACATTCGCACACCAGCGTCACGTACATTTATGGAAATGTAATTTATGTTAAAAGGAATAGTAATTTCTTTATGAAAAATAGTGACAGACGTAACATTAATACGAGGAATAAAAATAAACTAGCTGTTCTTGACGGTCGTCATCATGCAGTCTCAATTTCATTTTGCAATGTATACGCTTCTGTAATAAGATTCCGATGATATACAAAATTTGCCATTCACGAGGCTTAAAACTATAGTGAAACAAAAACTTTATACTAAAGGTTATTTATTATGCAACTTTTGCGTACTTAGATGACAAAAATCCGTGGTAGTAACCCGTTTAGCTCGTGGAGGTAGTCTCGATCTCTGATGTTTGAAAGCAAAAAAAATGTATTGTATATGTTAAACGCGTACAAATGTTATTTACAAAGAGCAACCCCTAGAGTTTCTTGTTCATTCTTCTCAGGGGAATCTGCCTTACGAATGTGCGGTAGAGTTTAACCAATGTGACGATTTCAAGTGTAATAGTGCTTACCTATGAAATAAAGATTATTTTGATTTTGGTTTTGATTTTTGAGGTGGATTGGACGTCACAGCTCCATGTGCAGATCGTCGGCTGTAATTGCTCGTAGAATTTGTAGAACAATAAAAGCGCTCACCTAACTCGCTCTGCGTGCTGCTGCTTGAGCCGGATCTGTGTGAGCAACCCGACGAGAAGCTCGTCTACGTTGTGGTTGATTCCCACAGATGTCTCGATAAACTTGCATTCATATGATGTCGCTAATGATTTACCCTCTGAAATGCGACAAGGAAATTATATTTATTAAAAAAATTTTAGGTTTAAAGGTAACTTCAGAATGACATGGATCTTTGACTCAATTGTGATCTGAAAAATTTTTATTGTTTCTTTTCACATATTACTTACACCGCCATCTATGAAGTACAAGTTGTATTACATACTCATATCTATCAAGAAATGCTTAGCATATCTGTCAAAATTTAGCATGTAAAGAAAAGATGGCCTTGTGCATAATTTAAATAGTCTTTGTTACTAGTTATCCTTGGACAGTGGATAGAAGATGGAATGTGCAATCTCTTTTGGACCTTTGGATCTGATCTGTACCATTAACATAGGTAATACGTAACAAAATCTTGAAATGAAATGCAATCTTGAACCAATCCCTTAACGTTTATTACGGTGACAATAAAGTTTGATCGAAAGATTATAAAAAGATGTTACTGTGTTTGAGTGACACCCAACGCCTTGCGATGGTTTATTGCTAATCGATTTTTTCGTGTATAGTGTATGTCATTTCTTTACTGTACGGAGGCTCGTGTACAGTCAGTATATGTACATTATTGTTTATGAATGTAAGTATTGAATTGGACAATAAAAAACAGCGCTGTCCCGTCATTACGGCCAGCTGCGATGACGGCTTTGTGATTATTAATTTAATAAGAAGAAATAATACGCATCTAGAATAACATTTAGATATTTGTCATGTCTAATTGTTACTTAAAATTGTATAGCAAATAATAAAATAAATTTACCCTTGAACCTTTTTCATTTTGTCGAAACCTCATAATGAGTTATTACGAAGGAAATGTTAAATTATTTACGGCGTGGAATTAAAATAATTACTCATGAAGCCTTAGTTACTGAACGCCTGACAACATTATTATAACAAAGTTGACTTGTGTGTTTGCCTGCACGTTTTGGGTAGGCCATTATTAATCTTAATTATAATATTTTGTACACTAATTATTTTAGAATTGTTTTCTGTTGCTGAAGAAGGCTCACATTACAATAATTTTAATGGTTTACATAATATTTGTGTTAGATGGACAAACTGAAAAAAAAAAAAATTATGATAGTATAAAATCAAGGCGTATTAGTTACATTTAATTGGGAAAATATCCAATGGATATATAATTGTTTTAATATACATTGTGCCCCAAAAACAATGATAAGTGTGAACCAGGAAGTCGTAAGTTACTAAATCAGACATAATTATTTTTTGTTTTTCCGGTGGCACTGCGTTCATTAGTTAGGTTGTTTGGGGTTTCTTTAGAGAAATTAGAATTTTATTAAAATTAGAAAGAAATTTCTTTTAGTATATTTTTTCAGGGTTGTCTCGGACTGGGCAACACCCTGGGTTATCGTTGAGCAAAAGTTAAACACAAATTGGACGTATTAAAACAAAAAGGATCCAATCCACGAAATTATCAAAAAATTAGTTATATGTACCAAAAGGTTTCTAAAGTCTAACCTCTTAGATCAGCAAAAAAATCCAATATATAAATATAAATAAATATCTCTGGAGTTACATGACATTATAAGTTTTGAAAAGAAGATAAGAGTGAGAAACACTTTTAAACTTCAAACTGCCATATCTCGAAAGTGACTGGACGTGCATTGGATCGTTTTTGTTTAACTACGTCCAATTATGACCCATTTAATTAAGCGATGAAATCGCAATCTCAATAATAAAGCGACGAATTTCGAAGAATAACACTTTCGGGAAACTGATAGAGTTATTATAATTAAAATGACGGAACATCAGCTGTCCCTTTTCTAGTCATAACTCTGTTTCTTTTTGCTATACCAATTTAAAGCATGACTGATTCGAATTTTGGATTCGGCCACTTAATTATTGAGAGTGCGAAATGGTTTCTACCAGTTATAATGTAATTGCTGAGACTGGCTTTAATTAAAGGCTTAATTGGACAGGCAAAACACGGGCGGAGAGAGACCAATTCTGGGAATACCTGACATAATTGTCAAAGGGTACGTCTGTTGGAAGTTATTTTCTTTGTCCTTGAAAGTCATAGTTACGCTGTGCATAGATTTCGTATCGAGTCCAAATTGTTAAGAGAAAGCTTTTAGTTCTTAATGTATTTTGGACGCAGTTAATTTTATCCTCATCTGCTGTCATTTCTGAACGCATTTCTGGTTCTTTTCTATTGCTGAACTCGTGAACATGCCCGAGAATTAATTGGGTACAAATCATGGCCGTGATTTTGGGGAGGGCAACGCAATACTTACCATCAGTATTAACGACTCTGGACCTGGCCAAATCAGCTTTATTTCCTACAAGGATCACTGCTCTCCTGGCTGTGTGGCCTGCCGCCCAGAGGATCTGCAGCCTCCGCTCGGCCTCCATAAAGCTGCTGCGGTCTGCTGTCGAGTATACCACGCAGTAGCCATGTGCGCAGCCATCAGACTGGAGATTTCAGAAAACACTTTGGCGTATGCGTAGCACTGTTATCAAGAAATGAAGACTTTCAAATCTGTTAGTTGCATTAATTTTGGCACATGGTTTCTGTCGTGTTACTGTAGTAATGCAACCCATTAGTGAAATGATACTTGTGACAATAACTTTCGACGTAGGAAATTTAGGTTTTGAAAAAAGTTACTTACAATGACTTGATCAGGCGGGGAATCCATAAATGTGATCTCTGACTCTTCGCCTGCAAGCAACACACTCACTGATCTCTCGCCGGATTCGTCATCTGAAAAAATGCATTAGACGGATAAGAAACAGACTTAAAACATAATCTCAAGGAAGAAATTAAAAATATCTATTAAGGGTCAAGAACCCCGTTGCGGGCAATCATAAATTTTGGTTACAATTAGCTTAATTGTACCCTAAAAAGTAAATATAAATGAAATAAAGTGACTTAAATTTTTTATTGAATTTGAGAATGTCTCACCAACATGATATTCAATTATTTTTGTGAAATTATTCCACTAGTTTGTTATAATTATTAATACAACGATCGAACACTTAGACAAAAATCCTTTTTTAAATTGGTGTAACATTCTGAGGGTCGTATTCCAGAACTCTACTCAATGCTCAAGTCAGGACTTGAGCAGACTTGAGTATGATTTCAAGCACTGGAAATACGACCCTAATTGCAAGGACTTGAATATGATTTTCAGTGCTCACTGCAATACTCAAGTCCTGACTTGAGTATTGAGTAGAGTTCTAGAATACGACCCTGAGATTCAATAAAAATTTAATTACAGTTAATAGCGACATCTCTAACCAGGGCTGGTAGCTGTAAAGGTACAAATCGTTGAAAATTGTAACAAGCACATAGAAAAATTTGTGAGGTCCGCTGGTTCGTTTCGTGGCTTAGTTGGCATAGCGTCTGCCACGGTTGGCTAGGAGACGTCGTCGGTTCGAATCCGGCAGGAATCTTTGTATTAATAATCATAAAGTGGCTTGTTATATAATTAGTGACAGGTAATTTCACTCACCAATGCTGGTATCGTACGCGTGTAAATATTCTGAAGTCATAAACTGGCCAATAAGACTGGATTTGCCAACTCCTGGTGCACCCATTACTACGACTCTGTACGCGCTTAGACCTGCTGATGAGTCTCTATGAAAAAAAAACGAACACCATGATACAATTTGAAAAATAACTGCAATATATCTATGTGCACCGCAAAACGTTCAAAATTTTGTCGATGCAAAATTTTGGTGCGGTCACCTAATGAGTAAGGTGCTACGAGTTGCCACCGCGACGCTGCGCTCTATTAAAAGGAGCATTGTAATATAAACTTCATTTTCTACGTGGTAAGGTTACGTTTCTCTAAACAAGCAGCATGGCGTCTCCTCGCTGGGATAATTTCTAATGCACTTACGCATACAATTTGAAATTCTTAGACGTGCATGTCAACAATCTTTGGACCACACAAATGTAGTCTATCTATTAATATAGATTTAGTTTTAACAAACATCCTGTGATTGATTGATTGAAAATATTTTGTTGCTATCAATAATTAATTATACAAGCGTGCCGCCAGCGCTACGACAGCTACAACGAATATTATAAACGAATAATAAACTATTAGGAATTATAATAATCGGTAACTCAGTTGCAAAGCAAGGTCTCTGCAAACCAGTCTCTGGTTTGGGCTTAAGTTGAACATGAATTTGTCAGCGCCTATTAATTTATAATAGCAAACTTACCGCTAAGTAAAAGTAGTATTAAGTTTAAACTGCATTGTAACACAATTTTTTTGTTATAAGCCTCACTTGGCATTTCTGTCATCCTTGTTGAGATTGCGACGTCAATTATACGCAATTACGAGATATACATCTTTATCGAGATATATATTATCTTTTTATTGAAAACGCCATTTGCTTTAGTATGAAAATCCGATCAGAGACATAGCTCAGAGTTTGGGTGTAAAAGCTGTAGAATAAAATATTTCAAAATTCTACAAAAAAGGTGAATAGAACAACAGTAACTTTATTCAATTATACAAATACAAGTCGTTTGTTGCGAACCAGTTATTCCAGAAGTACACCATTCCTGGGGATCTTGTAGGCTTCAAGAGGCGCCTTTGTCACTTGTGTTTGCCAATACGTGCAAGTATTTTACACTGGCTTCTTGTTTATACGGGCAAAGTGCTAGCCGCCAACTTAACACATTAAACCGACTATACCTGGACGATGCCAAAGAGCAAGGTGCTGAAGCCCTCGTAATTGCCTCAGTGCTTGATGCACTTGATGCTACTGATGTATTGGACCGGGAACGTCTCGATCGTAGAGAATCTCCTCTGTTGACTATGCCTTTTCCTGTTAAATGAAATATACTCAGTTTTAGTTGGCAGAGTTTACCGTATCAGTTACATACTATCTTAGTTCTGTTACTTTCATGTTTATTGACATATGGCATCTTGATTTGGAGTAATACCGCCGATATTAATAGTATCTTTGTCCTGAAGAAACGTGCGGTAAGGGCAATTTACAAAGTGGGCCTCAAAGTTTCTTTGAGAGATAAGTTTAAAGATATCCATTCACGAGATTTGAAACTATAGTGAAACAAAAATTTTATAACGAAACCTTCTGCGTACTTTAATGACAAAAACCCGTGATAGTGACCCGTTTACTTCTTTTGGGTATTCTCGATCTAAGATGTTTAAATTAAATATTGTAATGATAAATGTATTCAAATGTATATTTATAAAGAGCAACCCCAAGAATTTCGTGCTCATTCTTCTCAGGGGAATCTGCCTGTCGAATGAGCAGTACAGTCCGAAAAAAATGTTTCATTTCAATATGTAGCAACTGCAAAAGGCTAAGAATTTCAGCGAAGGTGAACTTTTGTGGCGATCCTGAATTGATGTTAACTTTCGCAGAAAGCTTTTTTATATTTTGCTTTATTTCATTTGCATTGTGTAATGTGGGAGCGTAGCCGTGGTTGTAACGCAGAAAGTACTATTTAATTATTAACGAGGAATATATTCATAATTAAAGATTTACTGTGAGCGTTCCGTTTGAAGATTTTTCCAGAACTCTGTCTATGTTCATTTGACGACAACCTTCTATTTTGTATACAATTCTGAATATAAAATAAACCAGCCAGCGCTACACTCTACAGTACAATAGGAATATAATGACGTTGAGGTAGAAAATAATGAAAGAAACTTATAATTTTTTCTTGGTCAAATGAATACCTCCGCTGTCGATTGCCATTGACATTTCTTCATTTTTTTAATGTCCGTAAAAGCATAGTAACTTACCAGTAATGCTGAAATGCCTGAGCCGATAGTATTCCTCCTCGACACCGGTGTTGGGCATAGAGGCGACTCTAGCGCGCTGCTGCGGCAGTCCCAGCAGTTGTCTCTCTCCCGTGCGTGACCGAGCTGCTTTAACCGACTGAGATCGTGAGTGGTGCGGGCTGCCGTACCTGAATGCAATTAAACAAGATTGCGTTTTTAAAATCCCGATTATCCAAATCGGCAAAGCCTTTTTAAAGCTTTTTTATGGGTTTTACTCTGTATGATTTTTCCACCAATCAGTCCGGAAAAGCTACAAGAAGCTGCTGAAAGATACTGTGACTGGACCTATAGCGACGGGTGTGGCTTTGTTACGTGATCCATCTATTTACAGCTGTCTTACAGCGTTGTTGTCCGTTTTTTGATACAATTGTTTGATCTGACGTAACGTGATACAACAACTACAGCTAGCTAGGAAAGAAAGTCTGTCATAGAGAGCCAGAATCATGTTTTTCTTTCGTATACACTCCAACGGTTTGCAACTTTGTCCTTGAGCGCAACCATCAATTAAAGTTAGGTATTTGCCTTGTCAAGTCTGCGCCGGCGCGTATTTAACATTAATGTTTTATGTCCTGAAATTTCACAAGGAGCTGAGTCTGTTCTATATGTTTCACTACAATTTAATTCATTGTTTAATTAGACTTAAGTGAAAAGATGTTAAAGAAAGCTTATCCCTTTATTAACCGACTCCAAAAAAGGGGAATGTTTTCAATTGGACTGTATTTTTTTTGTATGTGTGATACGCGATAACATTTGTGAACTGATTTTGATGATTCTTTTTTGTTGGAACGAGGGTACTTCGCTAGTGATCCCATTTAAATTTGGAGAAAATATTCCACCTCTAAGAGTGGTAAACTAGGTGATGAACCTGGTTTCGCGCACTTTCCGGTAACCGATTTGAATAAAACTGGGCAAATAGATGTAATGCCACGAACTCTTGAGACTGAGATTGTTGTGATATTGTCGATTTGTATGACTATTAGGGGCTCTTTTGGACGTTCTAAAAAAAGGAATTCGCCGATGTTGTGTCTTGATAAGGGTTAATCATTATCCCATACGTCACAAAGTTTATAATCTCCACTATAAAGTTAGGAACTAAGGACGTAGAGGCAAATCTGCGATGACACACTGTTAATCGGTTTGGAAGCGACCCCTCTCGACCCTTCGGTGCACCCGATAGTTTCCTCGAAGTTTCTAGAATTGGCGGCCATCTCATTGGCCATTGCTCTGAAGTATGTCCTCTCCACACTTTCGCGATTGTTTAGTTTGTTTCTAAGTTAGAGATTCTAGACGACGCTATTAACTAACTTACGGAAAACTGTGCCAATAATTACTGAAGTTTTGAAATCAAATACGTAATGCTTATGTAAACCAGACGTGTTTCCTATTTTATTTAATCATCATTCAGTAATTAACCCATGAGGCTACCCATCTTTTGAATATGATGCTGATACTCATCTATTACACATTACAAAACGCCGAATAGGCCATACGTCCTTTGCAACACAGATTCTTAGAGCGCGTTCCCATTATGTCGTGACGACAGATAGTCGTGCAGTTTAAAGTGTCGTGACTTGTATATTTAAATGAAGTTCTTCACATATAGTACAACACGATTAACTGTCGTTCACGACTGTTTTTTACTGTTTTTTGACGTTTACAAACTGTTGTACGATTACAAACTGTCAAGACAATGGGAAGAGCCAGAACGACAGTCGTCAGACGATTAATTGTCGTCACGATCTAGTGCGAACAGCTAGACACGACAGTCGTTCAATGATAAAATAATCATCCACGACACAGTCACGACAGATAGTCGTGATATGGGAACAGGCTAGACGCGACATTATTATTCTGTGTTTACAGATTACAATATGGCACGCAGTACTTTTCAGTTCGGCTTTAGAAATATTACGATCTCAGCGATTCAAATGAAGAGCGTCGTTATGCTTGTTCAGTTTAACATAGACTTCCTCCGGTGGACATGGGATTAAATTGCAATTCAAGGAGAATTTAAAAAAAAACCTAATTTATAATGGTCATTTATATAATACAGTTACAATTCATATTTTTTGTCATTAAAAACATACTTTAATCAAATCGAATGATTGAAAATGTTCATACGTTTGCTAAGGGATGGCAAAATTTAAGTTAAAATGAAAAACAAAAAAAAACAAACTTATATGGTCTGCCACAAGTACGTAGATAAATTTGTAGTTCCGTAGCTCAGTTGGGAGTGTGATAGCCTCGGGATCGGCGAAAAATTCGCTAGTTCGAGTCCAACTGGATCGAAAGAGCTTTTCTTTGTATTTTTCGATCTTTGTATAAAATAATAACAATGAACTGGTGCAGTAATTTCACATAAAAATATATGAATATCACAATGAAGAGTTCAAGACTAGGGTTTTTATAAAATTTGCATAAAGGCCCAATCAGAGCGTCACGTGTGTGTTCGTCCTTTCACGTTTCCGTAAATATGTCGGCAACCGGCAACCGGCAACCCAATGATCGTGCGGGTTCGTTTTCGCCATTAGCTTTCAAACATTGTCGGTAAACATTCGCAGGGTGGGTTTAAATTAATTGCGGCATGTAGATTTGGATAACGGAAAGGGTTAACTTTTGAGTCATTTGCAGGTGTTTTGATTTGGATGCTGGAATAATTCAGAGCCAAAATTAGTTTAGTGGACGAGCCGTTGCTTATTAATTGAGGGCGGCGGTTCAAATCCACGACGTTAATCAGTCCCAGCTTTAATTTCTAAGTCACGTCTCTTTGTGAATATTCAGAGTGTAATCGCTCACAGAAAAACACCGCGGTGATCGCAGGTCCATTGTCCTTGGAAAACGTGTGAAGTCAACCCCCAAGATATCATAGCGGACTGTAGTCTAAGCCCTCTGAGATCCGTGCCCAGCAGTGAGATGTATAACACAAGCGGAACTGCCCCTACCAATAACAACCAAGTAGTGGTCTAGCCGTGGCATTTCTCTATCCTAATGTATTACTAACAATACTATGATCATGGTTTGAAATAAGTAATTCTATTTTAAATTCTATTCTATAATGAATTGACAATGAGTACTTTCTCGATGAATACGAGATATGTCTAAAAAACTGGCATCTCAGTACCTCTATGAAAATATAATAATAATTTTTTTTTATGAAAAATAGTGATAACACGAGGAATAAAAATAAACTAGCAGCTATTCTTGTCAGTAGTCTTCACAAAGCTAATTTGTTTAAGGGGCAACGTATTTAGTAGATGTGGAGCTTCTTGTGAAAGTGTTCGTCCAGAAAGTACTGCCACCTTACCTATTTCTGCCGCCAAGCAGTAATGTCAGCATTACTGTGTTCCGATTTTGAAGGATAAATTTGAAATTACAGGCACACGGGACTTGTCAACTTATGTCTCGGGGTGACGGCCGCAGTGGCAGTGCCCCTCAGATCTTTGCGATCTAAAGCTCTAAGTGACACTGCAACTGTTATGGACAGGCGTGTAGTTTACCATCAGGCGCACGGCTTGTTCGTCCCATTACTTGATATTGTACAAAATATTACGTATGGGAAATCTGTCTTACGAATGCTCAGTACAGTTTAATCAGTATGAAGATTTTAAGTATAGTTTCTTTATCTATGAAATAAAGATTATTTTACTTTGACTTTGAAGTTCCTATATCTGTGATTATGTATCACATGCATACCTCTTTGTACTGCCAAACACGACTACCTACTGTATTTGGCAATGACGTAGGAGCCTAAGAACGAATCGCTCGCTAGGCCGTGGGATACGAGATTAAGATCAAGGCGATATTAATGATACTCCCTTTGTGTTGTTAATGTCTTTAGGCGGCGGTTGCCACGTACGTGTACCACCTGACCGTTTGTCGTATAAATACAAAATACAAATTAATGGAACAGAATCTAAAAGAAGAAAGAAGACTATCTAGACTATCGGCCGTCGAAATACTAGAAAAAAAAGACAAGAAATCCAATAATGAAACACAGCACCTACACAATGTACAATGAACTCACACAAGTATTTAAGTAGTTTATTTTATTTTGTGACACACACGTCCGTCACTAATTTCGGCTCAGGTTTATTGAGAACCAGTGTCACGACCTAATTGTGGTTGTGGCTTAAGGGAATGAGGTCCTTTTGCGTACGCCACAACCAACAACCGCACAAATGACAGTACGAATTGTGCAAATTTTGTCTTTATTGCTTCGTCTTTTTTTTGTTTTCGTATTTTTTCTATTTTGTTTTGTTTGTTCATGTATTATTAATTTCTTTTTTGTATCTATGTGTTGTGGTGTTGCAATAAATCTTTTTCTATTCTATTCTAAAATAAATTTACAATTCTTCACTGTTCATACAATTGAGTATTCAATCAAACGAGTTTCAGACGAGTATGCAAAATTTTGTCGTTTGTAACACTTCCTAAATTTATGGGTAGATGTTCGTTGAATCGAGGACTGATTACTCACGCTTCCGAACCCTTGCTGTCATAACGTCACATCTGGAAAATAACAATTTTTCGGGAAAGAAGTTTAAAGGTTCCACCAACCAAATCAGGCGATAACTTTTAAATATGAGAGCTATAATTTACATACACATAATTTGTGTCATGTAGTTCGGATTACTTTTATTATTTAATATGATAAAAGAACTTTTGGCGTATAATCACATGTGGCTTCATTTGTTCAAAAGTACGAAGTAATGTGTAAATAATAATATTCCTAAAACCCATAATAAGAAGTCTGAGGAGATAGTGGAGAACATGAGGCTAAAAGCGGAATACACTCTGAGGGTCAAGCGGTTGGAGTCCCGCCACAACGTAAATTTTAATTCGTTTGTGGTTAGAGTGTCTACCGAACATCTGTTGACCTCCATGAAGAAAGAGTTTTCGCCGAAGGGTGTCATGTATCGGCGACACCGCGGCCGGTTACCTGACACCAGATTGCGCCACACGCCGCCCACAAATGCAATATGTGTAGATTATTTATTTAGTTTATTTTGCTGTCATATCGCACTGTTAATACTGTACCAGCCACAGACGTGCCAGAATGTCTAACCCTCTTCCGACATTCAGGCACGTCTTGGTACAAGCAAAGTTACAATCATGCCTTGTGCATCAG